CTAAGGTGCTAACTCCAGACTAATAGTGGATTAGCTCCGGTGACATTAAATGGAAAAACGTTGGCCCTGACACTAAAGCTATTTAAACCAGAGTATTTAAAAATAAAAAAGTATATATTATAAAAATAAAAAATAAGTTAATCCACTACGTGTTAATAATAATTTATAAAATTAATAAGGTATTTTAATAAGCGGCTTATTATATAAAAAATATTTAAATAAGTAAGGGTACTAGCGTATTTAATAAATTTAATTTTTAACCTTATTTTTTTAATATTTTTAAAAATAACTATATTAAAGTTTAGATAAAGCTTGCTGGGTAACAAAAGCAGGGTAAAAAATAGCTAAATTATAATATTTAAGTAAAATTAATTTATAATAGCTTTAATATAAAAATTTTAAAAAAGCTAGAGCTTGCGCTAAGGCCTATTCTAAAAAATTTAAATTTTTAAAAATTATTTAACTTTACTAAGATGCTAAAGCTTGTACTTTACTAAAAATTCCTTTTTAAAAGTAGCTATTATAAAGCGGCCTTGCTTAGTAAAAAGGTTTATAAAAATAAAATTATTTATATATACTAAAAAATTATTAACTTACTAATAAAAAGGTATTTTTTTAGGTATTATAGTAAAGCTAAATTTACATAGGGTAATAGCTAAATTAAGTTATTAAAAATAAAAAAACTTTTTAAGGCTATAAATAGCTTGAAAAGCTTTTAAAAGCTTTTTTTTTTACTTATAGTTATTTAAAAATTAAAAGTATATAAATTTATTAAGGCCTGTATTAAAAAAGGTATTAATAATATTATATTACCTTATATTTATATTAAAAAAGGTAATAAGTGCTGTAATAACTTAAAAAAATAAGTAAAGGCTATAGCTACTTAATTATTTTTATAATTAACTAGTTTAAAATTTATATATATATAAATTTAAGCTTTAGCCTTAAAAAAGTAGCTATTTATATTAAATTTATATATAAATACTTATAATAAAAAAATTAATTTATTTAAACCTACTTTTTATTTATTAACTACCTTTTATGCTCCTATTTTTTTAAGTTTATTTAATTTAAAATTAATAGCTTTAACAAATATATTTTTAAGTAAATAATTCTTAAAATTTTTTTAATGCTTAGGAAAAAATAGTAATTTATTTTAATAAAGGCATTTTTTTTAAGGTTTTAATAAAAAGTGGAGAAGGTAAATTATATATAATTATAAAAAGTAAAATTAAAAATAATTATAATAATAATATAGCTTATATAACTTATTAAAATATTTAAATAAAACTTAAAATTTTTTTAATTACTTTAAGGTACTAGCCTTTATTTAATTAATTATTTAAAAAAAATAATAAGTTTAATTTTTAGTTCTTTACCTTCCCTTATATTTCTAGTAATAAAATAAATAAAAGTTTAAAAGTAGGCTTGCTTTACTTTATATAATAATTATTAATTAACCAGGTTTAAAAATAAATTTTTTTAAGTTTAAAAGCGTGTAACCTATTATAAAGGCTATAATAATTTATTAAAAAAACTAGTTAATATTAATTTTTATATAAAAATTTTATAATATTAAGATTTTAAAGTAAGGTTTAAAGTAAAAAAAGGTAAAAAACCTTTTAATAAATTAAAGGCCTTAGTTTTACTAAAATTAGGCCTAAATATAACTTTATACCTAAATCTTTTTTTATTTTTATTTTTTTTAACACTTTTATTTTTAAATATTTTTACTACCCTTAGCTTGCTTGTTATTAAAATACCCTTGTTTTTTTTTTTAAAAAAAAATTTAGTAAAGTCTAAATTTAGGTTTATATTTTTAGTAATATAATAGTAAAAGGGCGGTTTAAAAACCTTAACTAGTGGTTTAAAAAAATTAATTTAAATATTAATAGTAAAAAATAATTTTTATAAATTATAAAACTAAAATTTATTAAAAATAATATTTTTGCAAGCTTTAACACGCTAGTCTTAAAAAAATTAAATTTACTAAATATTTAAGGCTTAATAACCTATAAAATATTTAAGTAAGGCCCTTGGCTTTATTTTATAAAGGCCTTTTTTAGAATTTTCTTGCCCACGAAAAACACCTAATAATTTAAATACTTAAAATATAAGGCTTCTTGCTAGTAAGTTTTTTTTATAAAGTTATTTAATTAATAATTTTAATAAAAATTTAATTATTAATATAGGCTATTACTTTTATAACCTAGGGTTATATATTAAGTAAAATATTTTTATATAAAGCTATTATTTTAACTTTTTAAATTAAAATACCTTTAAAGCGCTTAGCTATATTATTTTAAAATAAGAAGTATAAAGTAAACTAGTTTTAAAAAATATTTTTAAAAGTAGCAAAGTTAAAAATATTATTATTAAAAGTAGGTTTATTATTATTAAATAGGAATTTAAAAGTAACTTTATAATAATTTTATATAAATTATATAAATTACTTAATAATATTTTTATAATTACTTTTAAGCTAGTAAGTATAGGCCTAGTGCATTTTAAAGTACTTATTATAAAAATAAGTTATTTATTAATCTCTTTTTATTACTAGCTTTATAAAAATAAGATTAATATAAATATAAATAAATAGCTTAGTAACTAGTTTTTTAAGCTATTTAAATATTTATTAAAAAGCTTAACTAACCCGGCAAGTATTATAGTACTTAAGTAGTTAAAAATTAAAAATACTAACTTTTTATATTATTATAGGAAAATACTTAAGCACTTTATTATTAATATATTTTAGGTATTAATAAAAAGCTTTAAAATTTTTTTAAAGCTATACTTTCTAAGTTAAAGTTTTAACTTTTTATTAAGTTAAAGTATTAGCCTTTTTTAGCTTTAAAAAACTTTTTTTTAGTTTTATTATTTAAAGGCCTAAAAAATAATCTTTAAGGCAAAAAACTAGTTTATTATTTTTAAATATAAGGGTGTTAAAATTCTAGATATATTTAGTTTTTTAAAAAGGCCTTGCTACTATAATATTAAGGTAAAATTTAAGAATATATATAATTTTATATAGTATAAATAGTATAATCCCTTTATTAAATAYTTTTAAATAAATAAAAACTAATTTATAGCCTTATATAGCTATAATTATATTTTTAGCTTAAATATTACTACCTTAAAATTAATTTAAAAAGGTAAAATAATTAAAATTATTATAAATATAAATAAAGGCACTAGTATTAAAAATAAAGGTATTTTAAAGTTTTAAATTACTTAAAATACCAAATACTAAGGCTGCTTTATAGTATTTTTTAAAAATTATAAATTATATGTTTTTTTAATTATTTTATTAAGCTTTTTAGTTTTTAGTATTCTTTTTCCTATTTTTAAGAAGCTTGGTATTTTTAACCTTTAACTTTTAAAGCTTTTTACTATATTTATTATTTTTTTAAGTACTTTATTAATTTTTTTTTAGTTCTTTATTTATTTTATAGGACTTTAAATAATATAAATATATAAAATTATAGTAAAATTTTATAGCATGCTTATATTTATAAAAATAAATTAGTTTATTATTAATTAATGCCCAGGAAGGTTTATTAATAAAAAAACCTTTAATATTTAAATTACTAGTAAAGGGTTAATTTAACTTTTTAGCAAGCATAGTAAAGGCTATTTTTTTATAAAGGTTTTAGTAAAGCTATTAATAATAAAAAAATATTATTAAAACTTAAAAATAAAGGTAAAATAATTAGTTTTACTAGGTTTTTTATAATTTAATTAATTTATATAGCGCTTTATATAGGCTATTAAGTATTTATTAATAATTTTTAAAAATATTATATTAGCTATTTTATTATTAGCCTTAAATTACTTAAGGTATAAAATTTTTTAATAAGCATGCTTATAATTTTAAAGCTACTAGGTAACTTTTTTTATTAAATTAATATAATAAAAATAATAATATAGCTATTAAAAGCCTTAAGTTTAATTTTAAAATTAATAAAAGTAAGTTACTACTAATTTAATAAAAACCTTTATAATAAGCTTATTTTTAATAAGTTATTAAATAAAAAGTATAATTAACTTTTATATAGTATTATTAATATTTTAAATTTTTAAAAAAACATGCTTAGCGTGGTTTTATTTTTAATTAAATATTTTAAATACCTTTTTATTAATATTATTTTTAGGAAGTTAAAAAAGCTTAAAAAAAGTTTAGTAAGTTATTTTTAAATTAAAATACTTTTAAATTTTTATAATAATTATAATATATAAAATATAGCTATACCATACTAGCTAGTTTTTTTTAAACTTTAAAAAAATTATTATATTTAAGGCGCTAGTGGTAAAGCTTATAATAATTTTTAAATTAAGTATAAAAGTTAAGTTTTAATTAATATTTAACTTTTTAAATATAAAAAATAATTAATTATAAAAGGCTTTTATATAGTAAAGGGCTGGTACTTAAAAAATATAAATAATTTTAAAAAGTTTAAAAAAGGTAAATAAAAATTTAATAAATTAAATTATTAAGTAATTTTCCGGGCTTATAACTATAAGACCCTTTAAATATTATATAAAAAAAGCTATTAATTAAATAAATATTAAAAAATTAAATAAAAAATATAATTATATTTAAAAGCTAGAGCTAACTAGGGTTTATATAAATAATTTAAGCTTTTAAAAATAGTAAAAATTTTAAATACTTTTACTAATACTTTATAATATTTAAAAAATTATAAATATTATAGTTATACAGGCAAGTAATTTAATGGTAGGCGTTGCAGTATTTTAATTAAGACTGCCTAAGGCGCCTAAGCGCTGTCAAAGCGCTGCAGCGCTTCCTCATCGAACTAAGCGATCTCCACCATTGGCTGACAGTGTTCTCAAAGAAGAAGGTGTTCTCAAATGAGCCACGTGATCGGCCTCCGTGCAGCAAACCAAAGCCTGTTTCGACCTTTAGCAACAATGCAGGTGCTTTGATACGCCTCCATGCTAGGAAAGCTAGCTAACCCCCCTATACGCACTCTGTTCATATCATGCGAATACGCAATTTTTCCTGCCCTTCCGTCGCCGGACACGGCCAATGGCCGTTGAATGGGTCAGGAACGCGGCGCGTCAGAGGATTGCAAACACAAGCCTCCCCGGACGAGCTATTCAATTATACTTCTGGGAGATGGATGTATGCACTTGGTGCTGGTATAGAACCGTCTGCTTATTGACTAACGTACTCCAGCTTCAACGAACATCTACGGCTGGCGGAGCGTCACCTGAAATTCGACGCGCACGCACTTCACCGGGTTATGGCAACCGCGTCGAATCGCTCCGCCACGGACATTGTTTCGTTCTCGAAGATGGCAGAAGGCGGATTTAATCGGTTGTTTGAGGCAACGTTCAACGATGGGCATCGTGTTATTGCCAGACTGCCTTATCCAGCGACTGTACCTGAGCACTACACAGTTGCTAGCGAGGTTGCCACTCTGGATTATCTCCGACTGCATGGAATCACTACCCCGAAGGTCTATGCTTGGAGCTCAACCAAAGCGAACCCTGTTGGCGCCGAGTACATAGTCATGGAGAAACTGGCCGGTATACCTCTAGGCGAGACCTGGTACACGATGACGCCGAAAGAGCAGCACGGAATTATGAAGCAAATCGTGGAATGGGAAACGCGGTTGATGTCTCTGAAACTTCCTGCGTCTGGAAGCTTGTACTACCAGAAAGACATCCCATCGGAGCGGAGCGTTGCGCTACGGGACCCTGGCGACGGTTTCTGTATAGGGCCAATCGCTCATTACGGTTGGTGGCACGAGGAAAGGGCAGTGATGGAGATTGATAGGGGACCATGTAAGTGGACTCCTCTATGCTTCAGTAAATTGAACCTACTGAATGGCAATAGGGACAACTTCGAATGCAATATTTCGTGCGATTGGGGAAAGGGAGCTGAAGTGGACCGAAGCCTACGCGAAGCCTCGATTGCCCTATGAGCGTCTTTACAGGGAGATTTACAACTTAAGAAAAATACCTCCGGACAGGCACATTGAGAATCTCAGAAACTACCTAAACCTATCAACCTGCTTAGGCTTCAAAGCAGCAAGCCCACTTGATCGACCAGTCATTCGACATCCCGATTTCCAACCTAATAACATCCTGGTTTCTGAGACGAATGAGATTGTCGGTTTGCTTGATTGGCAGCATTCTACAATTCTACCCCTCGGACTTGCCGCGGGGATGCCAAGACATTTCCAGAACTACGGGGATCCAGAATCGGAAAGTCTTAGACAGCCTCAGACCAAGGTGCCCCCGGAATTCAATTCTTTGAGCCAGTCCGAGCAGGCATCCATACGGGAAACTATGCGAAGACGCATTGTCCATTTTTTATATGCCGCGCTCACGCTGCGATCGAACAAAGAGCATTACGATGCAATATTTGATCAGTCTGTTATACTGCATCAGCGTCTTTTCAAGAGTGCGGGAACCCCATGGGAAGGGAATTCAATCACCCTGCAAGCAGATATGATTCGCACAGTGCAGAACTGGCCGATATTGACCGGTGGTCACTCAATCGCGGGTGCTGGGGCGTGCATGTTGCGTCCTTTCGAATACGCCGATGCCGTCATCCAAGAGACTCTCGAGCTAGACGCGCGCCAGAAGGAAGCCGACACCGCGATGGAACAGATGCGAGACGTAGTTGGCGTGGACGAGCTAGGATGGGTGTCTAATGACAAATACGGAGCTGCGAAGGAAACTGCTTGCGAAATCAAGACCAAGATGCTTCAAGCGTCCGATACACCGGCCGACCTCACTGCAAGTAGGGACCATTTCCCGTTCGATGACTTTGATGAGGATTCTTGATGGTTATTGTACCTACTATAGGGGTGCGCCATATGTTTACTCTACGAACTTTGCCAAAGACCGGGCCCGAGACAAGCCCACTGAAATGATTATTGCAACAATTCACTTTGGCTGCAAAGGCCGCTGTTATCTACCAAAGCTATCTGGAATGGCTGATGATGGGACGAACGTCCATAAAGTCTCGACTGGGTACTCCCAACGCGAATCATATGCCAAAGTTCACTCAGAGAAGGTCATACTCAGAAAGGTCAATATATAAAAGAGAAGACCTAGTTACTTCAGAAAGCTTGTGTACCGAGCAAGTCCAAGTCTGCATCCCTTGATGGTGCCTCTACCTGTTCTTAGCACTTGGGTTCAGTCGAAATTGGACGTGGCCGGGTCCGGATAACAACCTTACTGCAACCTGGCCCCGGCATGCTCCTGGACATCCGTGACATACTCATGCATCCTCCAAGCTGGCACGCCCTTCTCATACATCTCGTCAATCTCGGCAGCATTGCGACGGGAGCACTCGGGGAGGTAAAAGTAAAGGAGTACGCAGACGCATATCCCCGTTGAGAAGAAAAGCCAAGCTGTTTTGTATCCCCAATTTACGCCGTTGACGTCCACTATCATGGTTCAGTCAATAATTGAACCGCTCAAGTACGGCATGGGCACTTACAGATTATTGGGACCGAGGTGTTGAACGTCAATCCGAAAACGACGGACATGCCCGAGGCAACGCCTGCTGTTCGGGCACGGAGGCGCTGTGACGCAACCTCGCCAACAAATGCAAATCCGAGGCTGCCAACTGCGGCGGAAGATGAGTATCGTTTTAACTCGTTGGAGGGGGAAGACACCAACGAACCTGTTGTATTTGCAAACGACCAAGCACAGGCAACAAAGACGAGGAAGTTCTTCAAGGCCTGAGTCGAGGGCACGAAGGCCAGGATGCCGACTATAAGCAGCGTGGTTGTGCAGATGATTGTGGCGCCGAAGACGAGGGGTCGCCGACCGAATTTATCGGATAAGAGCATGAGAATGAGAGAGGTGGCGAGCTGGATTGAGCCTGCATTCGAAATTCAGTGGTTAGACATGAAGGCATGCTGGCAAGGATGGAGCACCTACAAAGAACTGTTGTCACCAAGAACGCATTATCGAAACCACTCTGCTTGAAGAAGAGGCTGGCATACGTGTTGAGAAACGACAGGCCCGCGAGTTGCTGCGCGCTTCCAGGAAGGCAAGATCCCAGCGTCCGGCGGAAGTTTTGCCTGTTGAAGCACGCCGCATAAGAGCGAAGCAGTCCTGTGAAGGACATATCATCCTGTCCAAACTCCAGCCGTGCCTGACGCTCAGCAAGGATCGTATTCTTGATGATCCGATACTCAGTCTCAACGTCATAGCCTTCCACGTTACCATTGACTCTTGCGAGTGTCTTCAGGCCATTCTCGTCCTGATCCTTCTCAGCATAATAAGCCGGCGTCTCAGGCAGAAAGACAAAGATTGGCAGCATAATCCCCAGGAAACCCCACTGGGTCAGAATGGGCGTCTTGAAGTTCATCTCGTTGGTATCCTGCACAATCATGAGCACCAAGTTGGCCAGAAACTTGCCAATCGTGTTCCAGAAGCCATATGTCACGATCAACGCGCCGCGGATGTTGACAGGCGCCCATTCCATGACGTACACCGGAAGGGTGGCCTGGATGGCGCCGATGCCGATGCCCGCTAGCAGCTTTGCACCTGCCCAGTCGCGCCAGTCGCGGACGAGGGTCTCGATTATGAGAGACTACCGCGGTTGGTGTTAGCTCTCGCTTCTTCTCAAGGACTACAGTACTCACCCCCGCAAGTATAACCCACAGCGTGTACAGTGTCATCTTCCGGCCGATCCGATCGGAGATGGGGTTCAAGAAGATCATGCCGACTAGCTGCCCGAGAGATTGCATTGCGCCCCATAGGGCCGTGTGGTTCGCGTTGAGGGTAGCCTTGCCTTCGGCGTTGATGAAGCCGATGTGGCGAGTAAAGCCTTCGTTGGCGATGATGTTTCCTTACCGACAGATATCGGTCAGTTCTCATTCAAGTCTTGCAAGCACTGACTGGACAGTGTCTGGCCTACCATTCAGATTGATCTGGTATCCATCGGCCGCAGCTGCGATGCATAGAAGATTGCAGATCACGACGGCCTAACCGAGTGACAGGCACCTAGTTCAGCAATGGGTCCTTGGGAACAAGGGTGTCCGCCTACCTTTCGGAATCTCACAACAGTCGCCCACAACCCTAAGTTGTCTGTCTGCGACTTCAGCACTGCTTGGCCTGGCTTCAAGTCTGCGCCTCGGCTTTCGACATGCTCTATAGCGTTGACGTCCTTATCAGGAGGGTGAGTACCGGTCTTCTCGCCTGTCATGATTCAAACTAGAATTCTGGGTGGCCTTGAGGATGAGCACTGGTAAGTGGACACTCGATGTTACCTGGTTCAATATGGCTGATAAAGACTATAAAAGAACACGTCTCTGATAATAGTTGAATTGCGAACCCCGACCTCGCCATCTAATTCCCCGCAACCCCAGGTTGTTCGGCATATCAGGAACCGGGGTAAGCGGAGGCATCATCTGGCTAGAACACCAATAGCCGTCCCAGTCGATCAGATAATATGTTCGAGGCCGAGGGCTTGTGCAGTTGGCACTTGGTCTCGTACTCGTACTGATATCTATGTCGGGACCTTGGCCATATCGTACTCGTATCATTGCTCTCATCGGGCTGGTCTAATGCATCCGGGCCCAATCAACTCCGACTGTGGCCACTAGATGAACTATACGAGTTTCCTGTCCTTCGTCAATTGCCGGTCACCAATAGGCACTCATCATTTCACTGTCAGAGTCGAACCGAGCCCAGTCGGTGTCTGATCCGAAGCATGTCGGCTACTGAATCTTCGCTGCAGCCTCTGGGGCCCCGCGTTCCAGAGGCCTGGTAAGGGAAACGCTAAGCGAGTTAGCATTGTATGTCGGTGGAATGAACGCCGACTGACAAGTGCTGGTGCCAGCTGAAAGTGACATCAGGCACTCCCGGACCGTTGCGATTGCCTTATTTTCGTCTTGACTGGAGAGACAATGTCTCTGCCTTTGCACACAGGCCTCTTGGAACAAGTCAGTCCGACTGGGCGTCTGCATGCCACGCCGCATTTTGTAGCGCAGACGCATCGTGCGCGGACAAGTTGATACTCGGCAGGGCTACATCCGCTTTCGAGAGTTCAGACCGCCATTCCAGTCGTGATTTACGAGGATTTACAGGTTCCTTGGAGCTGTCAAACAGGATACCGGTACCGGCAAGGGTGAATTCGCCGGTGGCAGTCATGTAGACTTGGGACAGAGTATATAAGCCAACTTCTGGACGAAGGTTGCTCTAGTGATTTCTCCTTTCCTTATGGCCGTCAGATACAACATGCGTTACTACGGACAAAACACTTTCCTGGCTCCCTGCCTCATGGCATATGTACTGGCTCTGCTTTCCGCTACTCATCATGTTCTTGCCTCCCCAGTCGCAGCTACCGGGGTAGACATGTCACTCCTGTTTCCACCCGAGCCGGAGTCTGTCCATATTGTTGAACTCCCACTTCCCCCGGTTTCTCCATCAAACGAGACAGGGGCATGCACGCTCTCAATCAACCCTCACGGCACCGGCTGTATCGGCAAAGACGCGGAGCTGCGCAATGGAAATTTCCTGCCTGATAACAAGCACATTGTGGCCAGCGTGACGTTTGCCGGAGCACCCGATGTCCCGCAACCCGGCAGCGCCTACAGCGGTGTGCAGCTGATTGTTATCAAGACAGATGGACGGAAGTTTCCCAATGGCGACGCATGGAAATGTATCACATGTGGCATTCCCACGGCGAGAAGGAATGGGAGCACGGAGCTACTGGAATACCCGCAGGCATTTCGAGACGGCAGACGCGTCCTTGCCGGAAACAATATTGTCGACTGTGGTGGCGCCGTGCTCTCTAGTCCTAAATGTGTGCCTGAACGCGCGCATATCTATCCCATCTACTGGACGAACACTGTCAACGGATCTGGCCCTGGAGGAGCAATCCGCGAGAACAGGATTCACCCAGACAATGTGCATATGGGCTTTAGTTCGTTTACAAGCACAGGAGGGGTGCTGGGCCAGTTTGCCTACTTTGGGCGTCTGGTCTTCAACCCTTTCCCCGTTACGGGCGAGCCACGAGTCCCTAGATATGAGCTGCACAACGTCACCAGGTTGTATGATCCAGCAGCTCTCCAGCCCTTTTCGGTCCATGGAGGCAAATTGACAATCAACCCCGAGGCGCTTAGCGTTGGAGAGCTTCGCGGCTTCTCTGGATCTGGAGACGAAATCATTTACGTCGGCGCCAACAGAGAGTCCTGCAATACAGACATTTTCGCAGCAAATATTGATACCGGTCATGTCCGGCGCATCACGCAACATCCTGGCTACGCCGACCCAATTGACGTCTCTCCTGACAACAAGTGGTCCGTTATCTTGGATACCCGCAGCACGAATCGTACCATGTTCATGGCCGCCATGAGAGGGATTCCACCTCTCACGGACCTCGTATCCTCCACGGCATCCGTTTCAATTCGCAACAATGGGCAGCGCCGGTTCTTTCAGCCCTGGCTGCTCGACAGTACCGGTGATCGCGGGGAATATCTCGGACAGCAGCTCAACGCGCACGAAACTGGAAGCGAAAGCGTAAATGATCCAGAGTGGAACGCCCAGGCAGATCCACGGTGGTCGTGGGACGGCACGCAGATTGCATACTACCAACGGCTAACCGTACCTCCCCAGTGCGGCGGCCTAAATCCACTGCCTTGCCCGGCCTCTACGTCGGATGGAGAGAGAAGTTATAGAATCATGCTGGCCACTCTCACGGCTCGCAAGCCAGTCCGTCTTCGTCCAGTCAAGCGAGTCTCCGATGTTATTCCTTGGGGTGTGCCGTATGTGCCCGGTGATCCGACCCCTGTCCGCTGGTACCCGCCTGGTGGTGCGTACACGGTGTATGGACGAGTTTCAGGCTACGCAGACGTGACGCTCATTGAGAACAGCGGTGGGACCGGGCTTGAGACGGTTGCGGTCAGCTATCATGACTATTCTGACGCAGCGGGGGTGGTGCTTACCGGTAGTGAGAACGTGACATCGGTGCATGTTGGAGAGAGCCTGACGCTGGAGAGGGTGGAATGGTACTCGGATCTTACGTCGATTGGCCCAGGTAGCCATTCTGCCTCGAAGGTGACTAGCGAAGACGGGTTCCATTTGTTGATTGATATGATGGAAACCGAGTTCGTGGCCAACGGGACGCTTACGAGCACGGTTGATAAGGTCGTGTATGGGCAGCCTGAGAATTACACTTAGCTGCGTGCTTATAGTCTTTATACTTGTTTAGTCTGAATTATCCTGAATAGTTTCACAGCTATCCTGTTTTGAGAGTCGATGATTTAATGTGTTTATGTGGTCGTGCGAATGAGCTTCATGCCTGCCTAACTGCTCGTTCGGGGCTCTTCATTACAGAAGGCGAGCATCGGCAATGGAATACCAGAGCATATCCTCTCGGACAAGGATCAGTAACCGACATCCAAAGGAGTCGTTCGGTATGCATTGCCCCGAGGGATGCCTGGGTACTGAGTGGCGCATCCATAAATGCCAACCCTTCCCACCGCCGAATCAGCCATACCTCACATCCAAAGCAAGCGTGACTCCAAGAATCAGCATGTCCTCCACCGTCCTTGACCGCACCTGGATCTGGCACCCTTCCTTCCAAGAAACCAGACAAGACACCGCCGGCCTCTTCGTGCACTTCCGGCGGACAATCAACATCCCATCATCCCCTCTACCAGATACCCTCCCCATCCACATCACCGCCGACACTCGCTACAGACTCTACGTCAATGGGTCATTCGTCGCATTCGGCCCCGTCAAAGGCGACCAGCACATGTGGTTCTACGACGAGGTCGACATCGCCCCGTACCTGAAGCCAGGGGAGAACCTCATTGCCGTGGTTGTTCTGCGCTTCTTTTATGCCACGCAGTACGCGCCGAGTCTTGCTCGTCTCCCGTCTGGTGGATTACGTATTGTGGTTCCGGACCATGCAGGCCAGGACTGGGTGAAGAAGTTGCATAGCAGCGCGGAGTGGGAGACGGCTGTTGATCACTGGACTACACTGCGGGTTGATGAGCCCGAGGATCGATTCCTGCATGTTTATGAGAGGCTGTCTGGGGGTGGGGAGTTGGAGTGGGAATGGGAATCGGCCAAGGAGCTGGAGTTTAGAGTCTCGACGGGGAACTCGACGCCGTGGCATTTGTGCCCGCGGATGATACCGGAGATGAGGGTTGAGAAGACCACGTTCTGCGCTATCCATAACCTCAAGGGCGGTATTGAGAAGGATGATTGGGAGGCCGCTCTCCTCGGACAAGGTCCGCTCTGCCTACCGCCGGAATCGGTGCACCAGCTGGACTTGGAGTTTGAATCTTACACTACCGCGTTTGTGGGACTTGTCTTTGGGAGTCAGGCCGAGGGGGAGAAAGAGAGTACCCTGACCCTGACATACGCGGAGAGCTATGAGGATAAGCCCGTTGACGTCCCGGATATCAGACGCAAGGGAATGCGCCGGGACTGCACAAAGTCACTCTACGGGCCGAAAGACATCTACGAGATGAAGGGAATAAGTGTGCAAGATTCCTGCTGGTATAACCCTGACTCTGAATCGAGGACCGTGATACGGCCGTTCCACTGGCGCTCGTTCCGGTTCATGCGGCTACGCATCGAAGTTGGAAGTCATTCTCTGGCCCTGCACAGACTAACCATCGACAAGGTCAACTACCCACTGGACGTGCTGGCAGAGATTGATGTTAACTTCGACGACAGCGACACTGATTCCAGCTCCGATGAGGCAAACCAAGCGCAGGCACTGTTCACGACCAGTATCCGGACCCTCCTCAACTGCATGCACGACAGCTACGAAGACTGTCCGTTCTACGAGCAGCTGCAGTACGCGATGGACGTGCGGAGCTCCGCACTGTTTACCTACTACCTCTCCGGCGACGACCGCCTGGCGCGCCAGGCCATCGTGCAGCTGCGGAACTCGTTCCAGGCCAGGATCGGGCTTACCCTCAGTCGCTCGCCGACACATCGCCCGCAGGTCATCCCGCATTTCTCGCTGTTCTGGGTGCTTACCGTGTATGACCACCTGTTGTTCTTTGGTGATAGACTCTTCACGAAGCAATGTGTTCCTATTGTTGAGTCGGTGCTTGCGTTCTTTGAGGACGCCGTGGATCCGGAACTTGGCCTTGTGAGGCTGTATGACGGGCCGGGGGTATGGAACTTCATTGACTGGGTCCCGCAGTGGAAACCACACGGTGTGAATCCTGTTGTCTCGGAGAGCGGTGTTTCAACGTACACGAATAACTTGTATGCGTATACGCTGGCTCGTGTAGCGGAGATCATGGAGACACTGGGTCTTCCGCACCGCGCCGAAGAGAATACTGCGAAGGCCAGAGCTATCATCCAAGCAATCCGAAAGCAGTGCTTCAACGGCGAGTTCTTCACCGACACCATCACCGCTGCAACTGCTGCAACCGCACCGCTGAGCCAACACGCCCAAGTCTGGTCCGTCCTCAGCGGCGCCGCAACGGGCCCTCTAGCCGTGGATATCCTCCGCAGGAGCTTGGCCAAGGATAATGACAATCCCTTCATCCAAACCTCCACAGCAATGTCCTTCTACACGGCCAGAGCACTCAGCCTTGTCTCTCCAACCTCGAACTCCGATGACCTGTACACCACCACCTTCAACCCCTTCTGGACCCCCTGGCTCACCCAGCTGAACCTAGACCTAACAACCTGGCGCGAGGACGCGGTCTCCGAGCGCTCGGACTGCCACGCATGGGGCTGCGTCCCGATCTACGAGTTTCTCGCTGAAGTCGCGGGCCTTAGACCCTTGGAGCCGGGGTGGAAGGTCATCTGCTTTGCGCCGCGGGTGGGATTGTATAACTCGTTTAGGGCAAGGGTGCCGTTTTATACGGAGGGGGGAGTGGGGATTGCGGGCGTTGAGTGGATGGCTGGGGAGGGGGGGATTCAGCTTACCCTGGGATTTACGTGGGCTGAAAGACAGAAGGAGAGGGAAATGGCGAGGGGTGCGAGGCCGGTCGTGTCGGTTGTGGTTCGGTTGCCCGGGCGTGAGGATGTTAGGGTTGATGGGGTTTCGGAGGTGAGGGTTACTGTGTAGGATGCGGATGGTGTGCAGGATCCTGGGGTTGTTTAGACATGCCCTCTGCCTGCAGGTGCAAATGACCAGTATCGTCATCTTGTAGTAAGCCGCGGGCTATGATGTATGCATGCCATGGAAACAGGCCATGTCCAGGTGTCTTTGATGGCACAGATAGCACAGGCTACGGGTCATAAAAGCCCGCTGATAGTTTTAAGAGGAGGGAATGCAAGGCTCTGGGTGGTTGGATAGTTTTAGCATATATACCGCTAGGCCATAAAAGCCAATTGGCTATATAGCCCGTCCTTATACTCCAATAGATAGGGAGGGGG